GTGCGAGGTTAGGATCCTGTGTTGTTCATAGATAGAGTATACACTCCAAGAGGCAGGAAAAGCCATCTCTTCCTTTCGAGTTTCAAACAGGGTCAAGAGAGGCAGCTTCTTAATGCTAATGCTGCAGGCAGAACCAGGGTGCTTAAGGCAGCCACACATTCTATGTGTCAGATGGCTCAGTCTTCACTCAGGACCCCAGTCTGTGAGCAGGGAGGAGAGGGTGGATTCCATTTTCTTCTTTTGAGCTGTGACTTAGTAGTTATGTTAGAATACACAGTGGCATAAAACCCTTTTGGACTATCAGAACAAAGAAACAAAGAGAGCAAAGAGTTAAAATACAGGGGCTCATATTATATATATACATATAATTATATATATAGTTACATATAAATACACACATGTATAAATAAATATATATTAAAGTTAATGACACTTATCAAAGCACCAAGGCCAATGATGCAACCATCACAGAATTTGTGGTGTTTTTCTTTCTTTTTTTTAGTGAATTATATGTGATGAGGTTTACACTTCAGGTGTCTCCTTCTTAAGTTTTAAAATCCACATGATATCAGAGATTACAGATTAAAATAACAATATTATTCACACAGGAAAGTAAACAACTCCACATGATTTTTATTTGAATTGTGAATATCGTGTCATTTCAAGTTGCATGAAAGTGTTCTTTTTAATCAACCCAGGCTACTTTCATGAATTCACTCCATTTATTGTTTAAGGATTTACAAAAGAAATAGTGTATAATTTGTTTTAGAAAGTTGGAATATATAAACAATAGATTGTAGGAAGCATTTCTGAGTGGTAAAGAATCACAGCTCATGCCTATAATGCTAGCACTTTGCGAGGCTAAGGTGGGAGGATCACTTGAGGCCAGGAGTTCGAGACCAGTCTGAGCAAGATGGAGCCCTCATCACCACAAAATAGAAAAATTAACTGGGTGCAGTGGTACATGCCTGTAGTCCCAGCTACTTGGGAGGCCGTGGCGGTAGGATTGCTTGAACCTGGGAGTTTGAGGTTGTAGTGAGCTATGATGATGCCACTGCATTCTAGCCCAGGTGACAGAGCAAGACCCTGTCTCAAAAATTAAAATGAATAAGTAAAAATAAAAAATCCCAGCCACAATCAATGACCATTTCTTGCCTCACCACAACAGGTTCTCATAGTGCTTGGCGGGCTGTGTGGCAGAATAGATAGATCCCCAGCATGTGACATTTCCATGCACTGGCCATAAGACTTAGAGAGGAGTCAGACAACAAGCTATTTGCACATGAAACCACATCTAAAAATAAAGGTATGTAATTGAGACTTTAAGATAAAATATACTAACTACTGAGACAGGCTCTTGGAAGTTAAGGGAGAGTGAGACTCATGGGATATTTCTCTGAGAAGAGAATAAAAAGAGAGAGTGTCTCAAGGTACTGGGAAATTAACCAAAACAGAACAAGGAAGGAAGGCGACTGCTGGAGAGTCAAGCCAAGTTATCCCATGGGGGTTTCCCAAGGCAGTGGTTACTGATCAAGAGCCAAACACCCAGGGGACTGGTGGTAGTCGGGCACAGAGATAATAGTCCCGGGAAGGGACTTCTGTCCTCTGCTGAGACTCAAAATATAGTCAGGATGTGAGGATTAGTGCCCGAGGAAGGGTGAAGAATATATGTTGTTCACACTGCAGCCAGTGCAGGCTCTGAGGACCACTGGGAAGATTGTGGCCTGAATAATGAAGCAGCACGTTCCAGAGCCTGACCTACAAGAGGTGACATTGAGTATACAGGCCAGTGGTTAAGACCCGTATTCTGGAGCATGACCTGCCTGCATGTGAACTGTTGGCTCTGGCTCCTGCTGGCTGTGGCTTCTGGCAAATTGTTTAAGTTCTCTGGGGTCTCAACTCACCAATTTAAAAATGTAGATAAAAATATACCTCATAGGGTTTTTTATGGTGAATAAATATGTTATTGTATGGAAAGGTCTTAGAACAAGCCCTGGCATACAAGAAGCACTGTGTTAAATGCCCTTTACATACTCAATATTTGATGTTTAAATTGTATTTTCTGTTTAATAAAGCTTGTATTTTCTGTTTAATAAAGCTTGTATTTTCTGTTTAATAAATTTCACATTTCAGATATTCTTATAAGTGAGGACGTGGGACTATGTCCCCTGCTTTACTTGGGAGAGATTGCTGTAACGGATCGATATATTAATTAAGGTGATATACAGGACAGTATGTAATTCTGTGATAAATTAAGTATAGCACAAAGGATGGCATGTTCTGTAGAATTGTAGAAGATGAGAAGATCACTGAGTACTGGAATAATCAGAGAAGTTGTCCAGCGTATCAAGGGATGAGTGGGACTAAAAGTCCAGACTCCCCTCTCTTTCAGAAATTTCATGATTCCATGAGAGCATTTCTGGGAAGACTGGAAAAGGGAGTCAAACAGACAAAGTAGGAAGAAATGTGCATTGAAAAAATGATCCACCCGGGGATAATTAGGGGGAGGAAAATAAAATTTGACAAAGACAATCAGATTATAAGGTCCTAGCAAGTAAAAGGTAGGAGATGGCACACCAAGGAAAATTATTGAACAGAGAAATGACATTTCCTAGTTTACCTAACTCTTAACTCGATGCCTTTTAAGCCTGCTGTGGAGTTCTTATCACAGAGTTGTAGAAAGTTTACTCGAGGAAACGTACCATATCATATCCGCATGTGGGAAGAGTAGCCTGGCAGAGGGACACAGGCAGGATGGCGGGGTCTAGCTTACTACTGTGAGATTCTGGCCTCAGATCTACTTCCCACATTAGTTCATGGCCTCTTGAATGGGATGAGTCACTCCAGGCATGCTCACCCACATCCAAGATTGTGCTCCTTTCTGATCTGGGTGTGTCAGATGCAGTAGAGAGACGGAAGGGAATGGGACTCTGGCAGACAAACAAAGCCTATTTACATTTTTCCTTTACCCAGAGCCTGCGAGAACTTTTCTCATTCACGTCAATATATAGCCTTTCCTTTGTCCTTAAGTGTTAAGAGGGACCATTCATAAGCTGCGGTGCTGTAGTTGCTCTGCCTAAACTCTTGATGCACCTCAAACACAGGCCCTGAAGCTCAACCATGAGTTCCTTTTCTCCACCTTCCTACCCCACCCAGACTCTTCTCCTGCCTCCCTGCCCAGCCCCACTGACACCTCAGTCGTTGTGTCTGCCAACCTGCAGCATGTTTCATAGGAGGAAGTCCCACTCAGATCCTTTCCTGAAGGGATAACTTGAGGGGGGCATTTTTGGTGCCCTGTGAACTCATCCCATTGGATGGAGCTAATTGGACCGTGAAAGGAACAAATTCCTGCTGACGTGGTCTCTGGAGCTGCCTTGAATTCTGAAGAACCTTCCAGGCTCTGTGATAAATGTTCTTCTGCTCTTCCTGAGACTCAGTGGTTAGCCTCTCCCTAGGTTTTCTCATACAAGGCAGCCATCCCCATTAGTTGAGATCACTTGAGAGTTCCTGATTCTTGAAACAAAGGGCCTAAAACACCTACCCGAGTCTTCAAACTAGGTCTTTGGCCACAGTCACTGTCAACTAATATTTGTGATTTTGTTAGTGGATATGAAATGCCTCTTTCAGAGGTAACTGTACTATTAAAGGGCATTTTTCAAGACTTAAGAAACCTTCCAGGCTCTCCTAATGAATCTCTAATGGTACACTTTCAAAAACTAAATAGTAGGAAGGTATTTTTTTTTTTTTTTTTTCAGGAGCTCTGCCTGGTGTTCTGTATCATATCATTTGGTTTCCAGTATTGAATTCTGGAAAACCCCTGGAGCAGAAGGATCAGAACCAAGTCCCAGTCTGAGCTCTGTTTCTTGTTACTCTTGCTAATTGTGGGCAAGACCCTTAATTCTCTTGCTCTCGGTGTTCCATTTGAATGTTTATTGTCCAAATAAGTATTAATAAAACTATAAGGGCTCCTCCAGCTCTAATACTCTGTGATTCTGTCATATTGCTTGTATTCAACCACAAAGGCATTGGAGTTCATGAAACAGAAATCTGTGAGACAAGAGAAATCCTCCCAGTATATGGGACATCTCATGACCCTCCCTGCATTCTTAGAATGGGGAGTGATTCCTTATTGTACATTCTGGAAGAGAGAGAGAGAGAGAGAGAAAGAAATACCTGGGAGACATTTTACTATAACTATCTTTTGTTTTCTAAAGCATATATTCTGTTAAAAAGAATTTACTGTGTTTACAAATTTCCAGTTGAAAATATTAGAGCAATTAAAAATTAGATTCAAATAAGATTCACTATTAAGAGGTTATAGGAAAGGAAAAAAATGCTGTTTTTCTTCATTTAAACTGTTTACTGGGATAATAATTATGGCAAACATTTATTGAGCACCTAAAATGTGCCTGGAATTATGCTATCCATTCAAAAAAGAAAATTCAAAAGGATCTTATAAAATGCACTGCCCTGTTGGCAATGATTGGGGTTCTAATTGATATTCATCATATCTGCTCAGACTTTCACCTTGATATACACTAGTGTTTTCTAAACTGGTTTAATAAAAAAATAGATTAAATGTGGAAGACAGTCATAGGTCTTTGACCAAATATTCCAATACTTGTATTGTCTTACAGATGAAAGCAGTGAGTCCGTATCTCATCCTAAATCTCTTTTTCTAAATTGTTTTCCTGGACATAGTTCAAGTAGAACAACCGATTTATTTATGTCAGCTCTTGCTCGTTTCAATGACCTCTTATTGAGCAATTTGTTAGATGAAGAGGCTGGTTAGCAAACAATCACACACTACAGAAACACTGACTAAGGCCTTCTGCTGAATGTTCACTGCCTCCCTTTCTGCCCTTTGGACAGGGGGGCATGGCAGCTTCATACCACTGACTGTTCAACCTGAGATCCTCTCAGATGTGGAACGTGTGTCTGTACACACACACACACACACATACACATGTGCATGCTCACACATTCATTGTTCATCTTACTTGGTAAAATGACTTGTGGCTTCCAGGTCTGTGTCTTGTGGACGAAGATTATTATACACATATTTCAGGTCTTGAATTCCACTTAGCTCAGGCAATCCTGCATAGAGCATCTTGACAAAACAAGACAAAAAAAAGAAAAAAAAGAAAAAAAAGAAAAGAAAACAGAATAAATGCAGATAAAAATCAAACTTTCTTGGTTGATTCTACGGAGAGACATCTAAAACCTAAGTTTCCATGGCAATGCCTTTCAGTTCGTATACATGAATGAATACAAAGTCTTGCTTCTTAACCTCTCCTATTTAGTAGTAGAAGAAACAACAACAATAATGAAAAAACATCATAATTGGCAAAGTATTTATGGATTAATAATTCATTTTTATTCTCATCATAAACTGGTGAAAAAGGCATGATAAATTTATTATCCTGTGTCAGAATTTCTGGATCCACCATTTAGATTCTGAATGATCTTTGAACCTCCATTTTTCTCATTTCTAAAATAGGTATAAAAATAGCTAACATGTTCTAGAAGAATCAAATAGCTAATGAATGAGAAAGAGCTCTATGCATTACAAAATGTTACATAATATCCATTTTAAAGAAGAAAAGCATGATCCCAGAAAACCTGTCAGTTATGTGTACAGATCAAATAATGTGTAAGCACGATTTATGAAAACTCACCCCTCTGGTTCTTAATCCTATGTTCTTTCATGACTCTGTGACTCACACTATAATAACATGATTTTCCCTAGTTAAGTGGTGACTGTATTTATTAAAGATCATTAAAGCGATGAAATTATTAAAGATAAAACCATACAGGTGATTTTCTGCCAATCTTTAGGAAGACACTTTATGTTGCAGTGTGGACTGAAGGAATTATATTCTCTTTAGTTACAGGCAAAAATTTTTTTGAGAAAATAATAGATTTTTCTAAAATGAATTTGAACTTTGCAAGAAAAGAAGAAGAAAATGTTATCAGTATCTCTGTGACGAAGATGATAAATTATTTCCTGCTCTGGAATAAAAGCACTCTTACGGTGAGAAGTTAAGAACAATACTGTTAATCTTAAAAACAAAGTGATAGAGTGAGAATATGGTTTTTGGAGAATGGGTGAAGTTGTGATTAACTTGATAAAGTTTAAATCAGAAAAAAATAATTTAAAAACTATTTTGAATTCCTACCCAGGCTGAAGGAGCAGCATAAATAGATGAACAGAGGGAAACAAGATGTCTTTAACACATTGACAGAAAAAAGTCTAGGATAGGCTTCTGGAACACAATATTATGTGGGTGACAAAAAAGGCATGAGGATGAAAAGGCACGTAGGGGAGGATATTTGGGGAATATTAAAAATTTTGGGCCAGGCGCGGTGGCTCACACCTGTAATCCTAGCACTCTGGGAGGCCAAGGCGGGAATAGGTTTGACCTCAGGAGTTCGAGACCACCTAAGCAAGAGTGAGACTCATCTCTACTGAAAATACAAAGAAATTAGCTGGACAACTAAAAATATATAGAAAAAATTGGCCGGGCATGATGGCATGTGCCTGTAGTTCCAGCTACTCAGGAGGCTGAGGCAGGAGGATCACTTGAGCCCAGGAGTTTGAGGTTGCTGTGAGCTAGGCTGACACTACAGCATTCTAGCCCGGGAAACAGAGTAAGACTCTGTTCAAAAAAAGATTTGCACTTTATCTTAAGGCACTTTTATAAACCAGTTTTCACATGGGAATAAGAAGTCTTAATATTGTTTAGAAAGACGCCGTGTATGTATAGAATGATTAGTGGGCAAATAGGGGGTACAAACAGTCAGATGGAATAAGTCATTGGATTTTAATTAGGATAGAACTGAGAAAACGTGGTGAGTTGATTGGCATTATTGATCAAAGCACACAGCTGTAAATTTTAGATTTCATGGTCATTAGCATATAAATGATAATTGAAACCACGGAGATGAATCAGGTAGTCCTAGAGAGTTGTCAACTGTCTCTCCTCATGGATGATCTATTAGCATCTTAAATCCATGACATCTAAATTTGAGTAAATTCTCTTCTCCTATAAACTTTTCCTCCTTTTTCCTGTTTCATGTCTCCGTTTACCCTGCCATGACTGCCCACCTAACAAGAAACTCATACCTTCTTTGATTTCTTCCTTTTCCTGATTCCCATCGTTCAGTCACTTAATTCCATTAAAAAACCCTCAACAGTCTCTTGGGTTCATTCTCCTTTTTCATTTGTAATTATCATCCTCCCTAGTTCAGCTCCTGTTTTGCTGGATTCTTAAATAACTTTATTGTTGTTCTCCCAATCCCATCTCTTACCTCTGATTATCTGTCCAAAATCAAGCTGATGATAATACTCCATCCATTATAGACACGCAAACTTCTAGCTTCTCAAGTGTCTATGTACCAAATGCTGAAATCCTTACTCTTTTCATAAGCCATTCATAATCTAACTGTGACCTATCTTTCGCTTTTAATCTTCTATAGACATCTCCATCTGCCCCACAGACTGGGTACACTTGATTAGCCTTATTTCCAATACGTCATGTCATGCCCATGCTCATTAAACCTCCACCATACAGTTTTCTCAGCCACAAATGTCTTTTCCCTCCCTCCTTGCTACTAAATTCTTTTCCAGACTCAGCTTAAATGCTTCTCTCCTTAAAGCATCACTGGTCTCCTAATGAGATTTAGTGATGCTGTCTTTGTACAATATATCTTGGTTCTACTTTACAGTATTATTACTTCCTAGCCTGTGTTTTGTTTATGTGCATGTTTATCACATTAGATTTTAAGTTCTTTGAGAACAGGAGCTGAGTTTTATTCAATGTTGAATTGTCTCTATTGCCTAACATGGTGCTTTGTAAATATTAATAGTTGGATTTTAATAAATGTCTTGGAATAATGAACACATGAATGAATGAATGAATGAATGAAAAAAATATCTGATGCCATTAGGCATTGAAAACCTACAACTAGTAAATTCAACACTGACTACTAAACTTAAACAAAATCAACCATAGGGAGACACATACCCAACAGCAAGTATTAATAGAATCTAGGTTAGGTTTTATTTGATCAGTTCTGTACTTAGAGTTGCAGAGGCATCTTTGTGCTTACTGAGGCAGATTTTTTCTTTGTCATCCATTTTCTAAGAACAGCCTTTCTTCTCTACAGTCTGAATTGCATTCTAGTTTCTCTGGATACCCTGGATTCATACCTGCTTAGTAGGACTCTGCCAAACATTTCTTAGGAAGTGGACCTTCTACTTATTCCTTCCCCTACACACACACACACACACACACACACACACACACACAACACACACACACACTTTGCCAAGTGCATGCAGACTATATCTAACCAGATGAACGTAGCTCTTTCTCTATCATGTGGCCGACTAAAAGTAACAAGTGCCAACTTCACTCTTATTAAGGATAGCCTCATAGCTGGGTCCACTTAGTCATGTCTGCTCTCCAACCTACAGCCATGTCATGTTGTTCAAGTGCATCCTAGCCTAGAATGCATAGTAATAAGTTTAATTGGGGCAACAGGAAAGGAGAAGGTGGCTAGAACACACAATGAACAGACACAGGTAATGAATAAACAATCCTTTTTAAAGGACAGGGACATTTTGAAAGTTTCCACTTTTGTTCTCCTCTTACTAAGTCCAAATCTATCTTGAAAGTTATGCTTAGAAAAGCAGACATTCTTCCCTGCCACATAGAGAAGTTCGAAAGATTTCTGCTGGGAAATATTTGATATAATAATGGGTGTGATAAACATTTTAAACTGGGTGAATGGTCTCTGTGTTCTTTGGGAGCCTTCCATAATAGTTTATATTGATTTTTTAATGAGAGAGAAAAGCTGATGAAATACAGGCTTTTATTTCAGTGAATTCAGCCGGCAATACTCTTGGGTTGCCTACAGATGTTGCTTTTAAGGAAGATGGGAATTTCATGGATTATTTTTTCCTTGCTTTTCCCAGGAGTAAATAAAAAGCAATGTGAATATTTGGAAACATGAGGCTCTCTACCAAGGATGAGCCATTAACTCCGTACCCACCAAATACTTGGGCTCTTAATCCTGGGTACTGACCATTCAGGGAAGATAGATTTTATGACCCATGTCAAATATTTCTCTAGCTGTAACTGGGTCATGGGTAGTAGATTGAATTCTTTTTAAAGAATTTAACACAAAATAGTTTGAGATAGAAAGGAGGGCTAGAGTCCATACATATGTAGAAAATCATCATTCACAAATTTAAACTTGGTTTATATGTTACAAGAAGCTTTACCAGAGAAAGTGTGGCCTGAAACCTTCACTAAACATGTTGGTTATCTACAGAGTCCCATAAGATATTCACCTGAGAAGAAGGAAATTGAGAGGTAAACAACCAGAAGCTGAGGTAATAAACACTGCTGTTTACATATATTTATTCATTGGTTTAATTGGTCCACATTGCTTCCTATCTTTACTTCAATTTCTGTGAGAGTCTAAATCTAAGATTTACTAACATTTAGTGCCTTCCATTGCCACATTTTCTCCCTTAGCCTAAAAGTTAAGATTTGAATAACTAGACAGTGGGGAGATGTTTGGATATACTCTGTACCAGAAAGTTTCAACAGCTGATGTTGATATTAATTATGAGAAATTATTTCAATACTTATAATTAAAATACCATATATATCTACTTCTTTTGAGTGAACTAATATGACATAAACTCTTTAGTGATTATTTAATGTATTATGACTCATACACTGAATATTTTTTAAGGTATGTAGAAAAGTTTGTTAAACAAGAGTAAAGAGCCCACCTATAGCTTTTTGACTCTATTTTTTCCAAAAGCTGTCTTTTCACGTTATTTTAACATGATCAATCACCATGAAGCCTAATTTTTAGTATTACCTGAGAAGCAGCATAAATATATTTGTGCTTTTCTGCTTTGGGTTTATTTTTAAATGTCTGTGGCTGATTAAAGCAGATGTCAGAATTTGGTCCTACTCCTCATATGCAGTTATTTATAGGATTATAGACATTTATTCATTTATTTTCCCCACACCCCTGACAAGATTGTAGACATTTAGAAATGCTGGACACCTCAGTTACTTGTGTAAGCAAATTTTACCTTCCTCATTGAATTGACAGTCTTAAGTCTCTGACTGGGTCTCATATGTTAATGTATCCTCTGCAGTTTCTGGCCCATAGCAAGCACTCAAGAGCTCAAGGATTCATGAGCTAGAGCCTGCTAGAGTCCAAAGGGACATTAGAGTTGACATTGCCTGCATGTTTATTATATAAATGGAACCAAGGTCGCAGGTTAATCCTTGTGGAGTTTTTTTCTTTCTTTCTTTTTTTTTTTTTTGTAATATGGACACAGATTGTAAACCATGAGCCATCTCATAATTGCAATATGGCTTTATAGAATTGGGAGACAGAATGCAGATCTACTAATATGAATAATTGACTATTACACTTAACACGAGAAGAAACCAAAGTGTCTTTGTATATAAAGGACATGTTTATAATATTTTCAGAAATACTTATTTTTCAAGGCAGAGTGAAGAGAAGTAAGGTAAATATGTTGTTTGAAAGTTAAAACAAGGATCCATATGAAAACTTCATTGCAACAAAGCTAACATTTATTCAGCGCTACTCAATAAAACTTTCTTATAGTGTTTTAAAACTTATAGTGTTTTAACTTTCATATCTGTGCTGTCCACTATGGCACCACTAGCCACATGAGGCTATTGAGCATTTGAATGTGACCAGTGAGATTGAGGTGTGAAATTTTTAATTTTATTCAATGCTAATTAATTTAAATTTAAATAACCACATGTGGCTAGAGGATATTGCATTGGTCAGTGCTCTTGTAAATTAATAAGGATCTAGTATAATAACATAAATCAATTGAACCCTAGTGAATGGCAGATACTATGCTAAGTGCTTTATATTAATGATCTATTAGGGTTGTTATTATGAAATTTAAATTAATTAATACACATAAAGCAGTTAGCATAGTTCCAGGTCCGTGCAAAGAATTCACTATTATTCAACAAATAGATGCTATTATCTTCATTTAATATGTAAGAAAATAGAGTCTTTTAAGATTTACGAGCATACCTTGAGGAATTTAGCCAGTAAAATGCCAAACTAGGATTCAAGCTCAGAGAGGCCTAACTCTCAAGTTTGTGCCTTTAACAACAACTACTAGGAATTATTGTCATCTGAAAGCTCTAAATGTTGTTTTTGATTGACTGCAAATCCTATACTAATGGACCAAAGATATGTTTTCCTCCTATAGTTTGCTGCAATTACTAGTGTGTATGTATGTGCCCAAAGGAATCACTGTATCTTTTTCCAGAAGATACTTCTATCTGATTTCTCTTTCCTCACCTGGCCTATCTGGTCTCCATCTCTTTAGACTGGACAGTGGGATGAAACATTAAATTTCCCCCTGTTGGTCAACACAGAGAATATAGGACCATGACTCAGTAGACCAGATGCATACCACTAAACGTACTAGTCTCCAGGTAAGTTGCTAGCAAGTCACTGTACATTTTGACCCCCAGTTTCTTAATCTGGAAAACATACAAGTGATCAAAGTTGTAGATTGGGATAGGGAGCTAAGGAAAATACTTGTCTGGTCTATGCCATTAGGCTGTCATGACATATAAATGAGATAGTATTTTTAAAGCACTTTTGAAAAATCTCAATGCAGAAAACAACTGAAGGCATTATTTTGAAAATTATTGTCCTTGAAATTATTGTCCTTGAAATTATTGTCCTTGAAATTATTGTCAAAATATACTGGGATAACTCCTGAATGCATCGATGTTGTTGTGAATAGGAATGCTTTAGACAATAACTGTGAACTAAAATTAAATTATTAAGAAGTGTCTTTATAAGTTGTACAATGATACTCTTAGTTTGTTCCTTCCTTTCTGTTTTGAATGGCTCTTTGGGGAACTCCAAGCCATTAGCAAAAATAGACTACTGAAACAGAGGCATAAATGAAGCTTATTATTTTTGTTATTTTCTCAGGGGACTTACCATTTCCAGCAGGTTCAAGAGCAGTCGGCTGTGCTTTCTGACAATATTGTAAGCTCGACAGCAAAGCTCCACAAAATCTTGGAAATGCTGTGGGTTTTTCCCACCCTCTGTAATAAAGTACTCCATCTCTGAAGTAAATATAAAAGGGGCTCGGTCCCTATAACAAAACAATAGCAATCATAAGCAGGAGGAGAGGTAATTTGTGAGGTTAAAGTAGGCAGTTATGACAACTTATTTCCATTTGAATGTTCTTGTTATTTTCTATCTACTCTAATAAATGTACCCTTTTCATTGTGGGACAGCTGAAGAAACTTATAATTGTAGGCTTTGAAGAACTGGGCTGCATCAGAAAGGAAAGGATAAGATATTTTACAATGTCAACCTATACTGCCACAATTGTTTAATTCCAAATTACATTTGGATGGGAATATTATCCATTAAAATAATATAAGGGCCAATTAATAAAAAAGTGATATTTATGCAAAGAAAGTATATTTACTACTAAATTTTGAAATGACAGAACTGATGCATTTATATTAATATACTTACATTAACAATATTTTAAAAGTACATTTTTTTTTCTTTATAAAATATACTGACCCTTTAGGAAAAAAAGCTTTTGGTAAAGGCTAAGTAAGATATTGTAATGACAAGCTCTTTCAGAAAGCAATCTATGAAAAAAGCAGATGTTAAATGCTCAGTAAAGGGGAGAAAAGATAGCTATTTTTTGTTTCACAGCAGAACCAGTAAAAATACTGATCAGAAAGGAGGAATATGAGTGTACCATGTTATTAAGTAAGTGATACTGCCCCCTGTAGTCTCAAGGATAGAAAAACAGGAAAACAAAGGACAGAAGATGGTTCTGTCTCCCCACTTTCATCAGTTTTTCTCATGTTATTTGAGACACGGACAGGCCTGAGATGAAGTGATAGCATCTCTAACAGAGACTAGCAGAAAAAGGATTGGAAATATCTCTCTTTGCGAGGTCTCAATAATTAAATAAGGAAACAATGATGAGACAGTTTTTATACCAATTTGACCTCGGATCTTCCAGAAGCATTAGAGATGGGAATACAGTTTTGAGTAAGAAGTTATTTAAAAAATAAAGATTTTTGAATAGATTGAAATAAAACATGTTTTAAATTCAGCCTAGCAGTCTAGATATAAGTAAGTTTAGAACAAGTAGTAAGTGAAAAAATCATTAATTATTGACGGAGCCTCTTAGTTCTTTTTTTTAAATAATAAAAAATAATTGTTTTCTTGTTGCTTTGCTTCATTATTTTAATAAACATATGAGAGAGTGGAAAACTGACTTAGTAAACCAGGACTTTCAGAAGTATGGATATTCAAATCAGAAAGCCACCATTTGGGCACTTTATGGCAGATCTCGGGCTGTAGATTCTAAGTGCAGACAAGTTGTTTTAAAGAAAATAAATAACCAAGCTTTCTTTGGCTGTGGTTATTTTACATTATTTTATTTTAAAATTTTATTTTGTAATCCATGCTACTATTGAATGTCCAGGGAAGAGATTGGAATACGAACACTTTCATTCAGCTTTATATTCATTCATTCATTCATTCAACAAAATTTATTGAGCACCTACACTGAGACATGTGTCTCAGGGATCAGGTCCAAATTCTTAAATTTTTGCTCAAAATCAATCTTTTTATATTTGGCCCCCATTGACTTATCCAACCTGTATTCTCTGAATTCACTTTACAAGTTCTATACTTCAGCCAAGCTCGGGAGATGTTGAAGACATGAGATAATAGCATAGGTTCTAATCCTGGACCTGCTATGTCCCAATTTCCTCATCTCTGGAATGGATGTATAATACATCGCTCTTGGAATTGCTAGATGATTAACTGAGAAAATGTACATAAATGCCTATGACACTAATGAGAAGGCGGCACATTTGTGAACTACTGTGATTAGAGAGAGGCTGTATGCAGAGAGCACAGACTATAGGTCCTGTTGGCTGGGTTTCACATCACAGTTCTGCCACTCCCTGTTCTGTGATTTATTT